ATTTACAGGGTTACAACCCCAGAAACGGGCAGAGTTTACCGTAAGTTGGATACAGATGTCTAGGTAATTATTCAATTTTGTATACAGTGGGATTTGAACCCTAGACCTCTTGCATGGCGGTCCAACAACCTAACCACTACACTAAGATCGCCGGACCATAATTTTAAAATTAAAAATTATTTTTTACTATAAAGTTTAATTTATAAATTTATGTAAATTAGCTAATTATAATAAAGTAGTTTATATTATCTAAATTTTTTTGAGTTAATCTAAATTTTTTTAAAATATATACAAGTATGATTTTTTTAAACTAAATAAACTTTAAAATTTTATAACAAAAAATATATTATTTTAAACTATATATAATAAAAAAAAATTTTTAAATTTTAATTAAAATTAAAAAAGTTTTATTAGAAACAAAATTTTAGTCATTATATAAAAAAAACTATCAATTTTATATAAAAAATAATCTATATATTCTCTACTCTTAAACTAGAAATATTATTTGCTTAACTAATTAATTTGTATTTTCAAATCTGTTTGAAATATACTTACTTGAATATGTTAATTTAAAATCTGCTATTTATATTAAATATATAATATTTACATTGCTATTAATATTAATAAAATATATAAAATTTGTATTTATATACAGAATTTAATATTATATTTAATTATTAACTTTCTACACAATTAATTATATCTAATTTTATTGATTTTATTATAATTTAAACAAAAATTTGCATAAATATTCTCAATTGTATATTGGGTTAATTGTATTCTTAGCCTGTGAAAACATTTGTTCACTGAGTATACTTGTAGTAGAGGCTTGCAAATTACTTATTTTTGTAGCTTAGCCTGGCTCGTACTTAGTTTTAAAATTTTTTTGTCAGCTCAGCCTGGCCCGTACTTGGTTTTAAAATTTTTTTGCTGGCCTGACCTAGCCCGCATATATATAAATTTTTCTTCAGGCTGGCTTAATCCAGCCTAGTACACAAAATTTATTATAAATTTTTGAAAATTTTTAGACTCACATTGGCCCGCAGTTATGAAATTTTGCTTCAGGCCTGGTCTGGCCTGCAAAAATTTGCAGGCCGAGTCAGGCCAGGCTGCAGAACCTAATACAGGCCTCTAACTTGTAGTTTGTATAACCAAATAGTTTAGATCATTTATACAAGTTTCAGAATAATGTGTATCAGTTGATCGTGTTTTCAAGAAGAGTATCAGATATTCTTTTGTGAATATTGTTTAACTTCTTATTACAATACAATAAAATAAATAAATAAATTAGCTAATTTCATTAGAATTATATCTTTTTGGAAAAAAACTTTTAGAAATAGTAATAGAATCAAACTTATCAATCAATCTTATAATATATCAGTATATCATTCCTAGTTTTGCGCAACTATGTTGTGTAGCTACCTTAGTTTTATTTATTATTTCCTTATTATCGTATATAGAATAAATTAGAATGAATTAGAATAAATTAGAATAAATTAGAATAAATTAGAATAAATTAGAATAAATTAGGAATAAATTAGGAATAACGATAAATTGAATAAATTTGGAATAGATCAAACACCTATGGACATATAATGATATCTATTATAAAAATAGTAGTATAGAAAAGGAAAGAATAAATTGGAATAAATTGGAATAAATTATGTAAATAGAGATTAGTAATGTATGAGAGTTTAATTAAGCTAGTACATAGTAAATCGTATGATCCATACTTGATTTTCAGAGCAAAGACCCCATATCATTTTGAGGATAGTTACATTAAACTTAAAGTTTGGAATCGAGTATAAGAATACGTAGATTAATTGTAAATACTGATTTTCTGCTTTATACAGAAGTTAGTTTGATTAGCTAATGGAAATTAATACCAGAGTATTTATTATAATATGCTTTTTAAGAAATTAAATGTTATATTAATAGAACAAATCTTCGCCTTTAAAAATAATCTCTAATAATGTCTAATTTAAGTAGTTAACTTTAGCAGCTTTTGAAATAAGTAAAGAAAAAAGCTCTTTCTGAATTTAACAAAAGTTTCTAATAAAAAATACAAGTCACTCTCGTTATAGTGAACTCTCAATAGTGAAGATCTTGATATAGTGAAATTTTGTTTATAACTCTTCGCTTGATATAATAAAGTTTATATAGTATTCTCTCTATATAAGCTATAGTGAAGTTTTTTTTTTCTTAGCCCGATCATTTTACTATAACAAGAGTGACTTGTATATGGATTAATGTATTTATAACTATAGACTACATGTAGCCATAACCAAGATAAGTGTATAATGTGACTATCAAAATAATTTTTTTTATAAAAATAAAACCCATGATTAAGATTAGGGTTAGGGTGAGGCTTGGGATCTTAACTAGGCATTAGTATATGCAAAATTTAGTGAGAAATTTTTTTTGTTAGAAGAAGATAGTTTCATAGTCAAAATTTTTGAGTTATTAGTGATTTCTTTAAAAAACTTGATTTCATGTTACAACTGATCCTAAAATTTGATTGGCTTTGTTAGATAGCTACATATAGCCGTGGCTAAACAAATTTTTTTCTAAGTAAATTTTTTTGAAACTTTAACAATAACTCGACAAAAACTTAATTAAATTTAATAAAATTTTTTTAAATAAATTCTACAAACTTGTAGTATTTTTTTAAAAAAAATTTTTATTAAATTTGATTAAGTTTTTTGTTATTGTTATTTAAAGTTTCAAAATATTTTAATAAAAACAATTTGCTTGATTTCTATTGACTCACCTTCATATATATAATTTTTTAGAAATAGAAATCTTTGAGTATTTATATGAAACGAGTTCATGAAAAGAGAACTGAGATTAAAATATTAATACTATATTAGACATATTTTGAATTTGTCTAAGCAGAGTTTAATGATAGTAGATAAAAATTTGAGTTTATAAATTAGATATTAGTAAAATACATATACTACTTTTGTCTACTATATATATATCTATTTATTCTTTAGACGCGTAAATAAAATTTTTTTTACATGTATTAACTGATTCATAAGCTTTATATAATACTTTCATTTTCTAATATAATATAGTGAATTTAAAATTTTGAAGTTTTTTCTCGTATGCATTATTTAATATAAAACAATTATTTTTCGTGTTGCATTATGTCATGTTGCAGTTAGTTTAAAATATTTTTTCACCGATTTAAATTATGTGATAATTAAAATCCCAAATAGTTAAATCTATATCCAGATCATAATTAAAAATATTTTAATCCCTAGTTAGTTGCGCTACAATTTTAAGAAAGAAAATGATTGAATAATAATAATAGTGTCTGACTTAAAAATTGCGGTATCTTCTGATATTTTCTGAATAGGCTAATCTAGACCATAATACCAATAAAGGCAAAGCCGTGCCCCGAACCCTCAACAGAGAACTATTTTAGGATAGGTTATATGATAATGATATCATCATCATAAGAATTTAGGGTTATTAGAGTTGTTATTAATAAAAGAAGGGTTTATATATATATCTTATGTAGACCCCCAATTTTCAGCTCAAGCGGAAAAGAAAAAGCATTTTAATACTATATATATAAAGGGCCAAACGCTTTATTTCACAATATTAAGAACCATTACAAAAAAAAAAAAAAAAAAAAATTAATAATAATAGTCACTTTTACAGTTACTGCTATGAACCAACAACCTATAAGTCAAGCGATCAGACATCAACTATTAAGACCTCAAAATCTACCTCAAAATGCCATCAATACATCTTTTGATGATCTCAATTCTGACCAAAAACATAAAATTTTAACTAAAGGTATGGAAGACCCATTTGTTAGAGGATCAAGAACAGTAAACTGGACTGTTTCTCAGTTATCCACTGATATTTTTTCAGGAATTTCTTTTGAATAAACAAAAAATTAAAAATATTTTTTCATATACACATTATACTGGTGATAATGTCATTTTTTAAAAAAATTTAAACCTTATTATGACATCTGGGACATATTAGATAATTTATTTTTGGAAAGAACTTTCATGAGTTTATATTTTTTTAAACATTTAACTATGTATTTATTTTTGTAACTAACTTAAGAGTGGAAAAAAATTTTTATATTATTTTATCATAGTATTACTGTATTAAAAATTAGAAATATCACATTACGTGTTTTACTAAAATGATACTTATTAGTAAAAGTTGTAATAATTAGGGAGATGTTAAAGTCAGGTATTGGTTTGCTAGAACAGGTAGTGTTGTATGTAAAATTATATTTTTATTAATATCCTGAGAGTTGTCGCTCAATTCCCCGAAAACCACTTACTCGACAATTCATTTACCTGACATCACATAGAGTGACAATTTAGCATTTAGTTAGCTATAAGGTATATATTTTATTAGTAAATTTTCACTTCATATGATGTCAGGTAAATAGACTTTAGGGTAAGTAGTTTTCAGGGAATCATACTGTAACCTGTCCCAAGATAGTTTAGACATAAATTTCTTTGTAATTTTTATAATACTCCGAAAAACTACCTCACGAGATCAAAAAATACCAGTACCATTTTTTTTTGCTCATTGTAAATGGCAAATCTGCCTCTGAAGCTACTGCAGTCAAACGTAGTACCACTTCTGATTTTCCTGATTTTTCTTATTTGGGGGATAGCTAAAGCCATGTACCTTAGGGTTAGTTTTTTTGATGCATTTAATAGTTTTATTTATATATAGATATTAAGAACAGAATTAATGCAATATGTAGATCTATATGTAAAGGTATATGGCTTTAGATAACTTTTTATTTAGGCTATCTTACTGATTTTAGAAATAATATTAATTTATGAAATAAACTAAATCAGTATTATTAGTATTATTAACAAAATAACATCAAACAAACAATTAGATAGTATTTTATTAATAGGAATAATACAATAGTTTTATTTTATTTTTTTCTTTTTTAATCTGTTTTTTTTATATGTGAAATTATTTATATAAATAATATAAGTTGTTTTTTAATAAAAATTAACTTTAGCAAAGTTCAAATAAGATTCTAATAAGTTTAGTATTTGAAAAACCAATAAGGTCTAGTAATCTAGTATAATAGTTAAGTTGTCAAACTACTATGCAATAGGTCTGAGGTTCAAATTTTACTATTGATGAATTTAAATAATTTCTTAGATTTTGTGATATTTTATAGTAAATTCTGTTTATTTCTGAAGTTATACTTTTGTAAATTGAGTTGTATTAAATTAATCAGAACTTAGAAGTATAATATAATTAGAATATTTATTTATGAATCTGGAATTCAATGAAAGAAATAGTACTCTTTAAGAGCTTTTATAGCAATAGAGAGTTCTTTAAGTGTAGTTATTGAGAGAGTGAAATTCACTTCTATAATATTATTTGAATCATTTAGAAAATCTGAAAAATTAGTATAGTTGACAACACAGTATGCAGGAGGAAAAAAAAATAGTATTCAGTAAATAGATAGTATTTCTTCTATGAATTGTTATGCAATTGCTTTGTCTTTAATAAGGAATGATATTTGAGTTTTCAGTTGTAATTTGAGAGAATTAGTTAAAAGAGGTCTTTTTGTGATTAAATAATTATTTGAAAGTTTGACAAATATGTATTCTAATTGTAGAATTCTGATATAATTAATGAAATTCTCTCAGTTTTTTAGAAAAAAAGGAAATTTTGCTTCAAGACATAGAGAGAGAAGTTGAGAAGTAACTAGTAAAGGTAGTAGTTACTCAAACAGATCAAAAAAGTAAGATAGTATTCTAGTATATAAATAGTATTTCTGAAGAGTTTGCTTATAATTTGAAAGTTGTTTTAAGTCTGTATAACTAGAGATTAAAAAGAGGTCTCTAATTTCTAAATGTAGATCTTTAATTTTTTCTAGTAAGAGTAAATGATTATCTCTAAAATATGTTTCTAGAAGTGTTTAAAATATAAAAACTTTGTGTAATACTCTAATGACTCAATGAGTATCATAGCAGTTAGTTAAAAGTAGTTCAAAACTTAAGGTATCATAATATAAGAAAGTATATTTTTAGGATCATCAGGTAGTGGTAGTAAGTTGTTGATAATGCATTTAAAGATTATTTGTCAAATATTATTGAACTTGAAAGAGATAGTAGTTTTGGTAAAGCTAGCTAGATAGAAGATTGAATAAGCTATTTTATATGAATCTTTTAGATTGAAATCTATATTTAAGAGATAATCTATTCTAATTTTCTTGAGAAATATGAAGAAGATTTTATTTTAGTTTGTTTTGTTAGTGATTATTATATCATATAGTTGTTTGTATTATTCAATTGCTACAATAAGTAGATCATTAAATTCTCATTGGTGTTAAGGTTAAGTTTGTATATAGCAAGTAAAAGTATGAAAGAATTAAGTATCATGGTAATCTAATTTAGCTAGAATAGCTTTAGAGATAAAATAATTAGTAAATAGATACTTTAATTTATATTTGGTAAATTCTTCAAGAGCAGAAAGAGAAATAAATATTTCTATACATTTGTCTTAGTTCTAGAGAGAGATGTCTATAGGTTAGCATTTTTCTAGCCTTCAGTCTTTTAAAGCCAAGATTATTTTATCTATCTATTCCTTTTT